GATTTGATAGTTTCATTTTATTTACTTCTTTTCATAGTTTATTTTTAGTTAAAACCATCTCATTTTAGTTAATCTTCATGCATATTTTCTCTTTTTGTTATTTTTCTCCTTTATCGGGTGCTTTCCAGTCTTTTGAGCTTAATTGCAGGATTTACCGAAGACTATTTGTCATTGGATATATGGAAGGAGTGTGGGACTTTTGGAGGCTTGCAGTTTGCTTGTGGACTTGAAGTGGTGCGATTGAACTTGGTGTCAGCATAAACAAGAAATCGAGTTAGACTTAATTTTTGGGTGAGAATGATGACGAGGCGACGAGTACTCGGCCTATAGAAGATTAAAGGAGCATTGGAGCATCTTTGAAGGCTTTGGAAGGCATAATTGGGCTCTCAAGAGTTTGTGCATATGGGCTGAAACATTAATGAGAAGATTGGGTTGGTGTGCCAATCAAATGGGCCAAATGGCCCAATCAGCAGAATTCAAGCGGTCCGCGTGTACTCCAGAACTTGTCCGCGTTAATAAACAAATGGACCGCGTATCCTCTCCAGTTCATCCGCGTGTAAATGATGCAAATCAGAATAGTTTCAGGTTTATTCACGCGGACCAAGTGTACTCGTGTTCGCATCCGCGTGAATTGTGCTGAGTTGATCCTGAGTTTTGACTTGTTGACTCTATTTGTGGAAGGTTAGTGGGTGGCTTTTGGCACCTTTTTGAATCCGGAAACCAGCTCCTTTTTGCTGGAGTTTGGGAGCATTCTTGAGGATCACTTGAAGAACACACACAATTCTCTCTCAAGGAGGTTTTGGAAGATTTGAAGATTTTTTGAAGATTAGAGTAATTTCTTTCCATCTTGCAACTAGAACAATGTTTGGTACCACTAAAATATATTGCATTTCTTTTACTTTGGCCATGCTTGGCTAAACTCTCATTTGGTTGATTAGGGTTTAATCCCATGGATGATTGGTTGTTTTGAAGACTATTATTATCTTGTGTTGAAATTTATGGAAATGTTTTCTAGTTAAACATCTTGTTGTGTTTATTTATCTTTGATCATGAGCTTAGATGAATGAATGCTTATTTTTGTTGACTAATTTCTTGGTTAAGTAATGGACTTTCAAATTAGTAAGCAACAAATGGTTTATATGTTTGTTTTCATTTCATTTAGACCATGGAAATGTTTCCTCCATAATGATAATGTAAGCATTTGATTATTTTTTGGACTTGGTAACTCTTTCAACTTAAAGCTAATTGATTTTCATAAGATTTTATGCTTCATTGATTTTGTGACTTCAATAAAGGAAATGTGTTAAGAGCTCCTGTAGCCATTTTAATATCTAAGAAGAGTTGAGGCAATTTGTGCTTATGAATTGCTATAGCCAAGTTAAACCAATTCACAAGCGTTATTCTATTTAGTCTAATGATAAGTCAACCATGTCATCCATGTGGTGTATCCTAAATCAACCAATTTCACTTCATTGAATTTAATCGAATCTTTTACTTGTTTACTTGTCATATGTCGACATGTTATGGGTATTAGGTTGAGGCGGTCATGCTTTGTGCTGAAGGCCAAGATACCCATAGAGCGGTCCGGATAGGTTGTAGGCCCGGCGAGGCAGTCCAGTCAGGCCGAAGGTTCGGAGAGCGGTCCAAATAGGTTATAGGTCGTGCAAGGTGTTCCAATCATACTAAAGGCTCATGTAGGCATGTTGTTATGTGTACGGTTGTGTGTGGTACCTTGGGGGAACTCACTAAGCTTTGGCTTACAGTTTAGGTGTTATGTTTCGGGTACTTTAGATGATCGGGGCAAGGCGAAGGCTTGATCGTACACGTCCTTTGGATTTTATGAGATTTGATTTTGGGATACTCTGATTTGTGATTTTGACCTTTTGGAAACTATGTTTTGTAAACATTTATGGTTTTGGGTTGGTTTTGGAAAAATTAAAATTTTACCTTGACTTTTGGGATGTTACAAGTTAACGGGGCTTATTGGGCAACCCATGTTATCTAGTGGGCCGGACAGCTGGAAGTCCAACCTTTCCTCTGAAGGTGACTTTTGTGTTCGAGATCTCCGGACCCGGATCTCTACTACAACTCCTGTCATCAATCCTACAGTATAGGCCAGAATTGTCCCTTTGAAGGTTTCTATGTTTGTGTGGCGTGCTTGCTTGGACCATCTTCCCACTTCCATTGCGTTGGCGCGTAGATGTATCAACACTAACTCTACCTCTTTCTTGTTGTGTAATGTTGGGAATGATGAGGCGGATCACATTATTGTGAATTTTCAATAGCGCGAGATGCTTTAAGGTGGATTTTCAATTGGTGTAGCGTTCAAGGCCTTCCCGTTAACATGGTTTGTGACCTTGTAAAGTTTGCAACAACTTGGGGGAGGTGTCCGAAAAAAAAATTGATTGCTTTATGTTATGGTTTTATTTGGTGCACGTGGAAGGCGACAAACACGAAGAGGTTTAATGATGTTCGGACTTCTTCCGATAATTTGGTGGATAATGTTTTTAGCACGGTGTTCGAATGGGTTAAACATAGGGGTAACTTTGGTGTTTGTAAATAGGAGGATTGGTGTTGTTCCCCCTTCAACATTTTGTAACTTGTATCTTTGTTTTCTGTTTTTGTTCTACCTTCTCCTTTTAGGTAGTGGCTTAATAATATTTCCACCGGTTCCAAAAAAAAAGACGTAATTAAAACGTTTTATCTTACCGAATGTTAAAAGGATGACAATCTTCAAACATAAATAAGATTTTTTTTTCTTTTTTTTTATTATGAACAAAAACATATTGCTTACTACATTTTAAAAATTAAATAAGAAAGAAACATTTTATACTTTGTTGAGTTTACTGATTTAGGGTCTAAAGTTAATAAAAGTTAATAACTTGTGTAAGCCAACCCTAAATGTTAGTACTTTGGCTCAATTATGTTGTAAGTGTTCTATAACCCTTCTTACACAAAAGAGAAGATTCTTATAGGGCATCTTAAGTATTTGAGGTGAGTACATTACCATTTGAGCTTCACCTATTATGACATTGTACTTTTGAGTTTCACGTGCTTGCATTACTATATATAGACACCTTGCTTGTAATACTATGTGTACTATATGTGCATTCATTTCAAGTTGATATTTATGAAGTTAAATTTTTAACTGGAGACGTCTTTAATGTTCGTTTATCATTTTAAGGCATTTATGATTTATTTTTTCTAAATCATTATCAAGTATATCAATACATCGCGTGAATTTTCATACTTGTGCAGTCCATACACCTAACAAGGACCTTGGATATCCAATATTAATGTGGAACACTGCAAACCCTTCATATGGTTCGTGTGTGATGGTTCACATGTAACTTTGTATGAGGAAGTAACAAAGTTGAGGCCCTATCTACTTATTGTGATATGTGCTATTTCATACTTATGTTTCATTAGACCATCTTTCTCTTCCAGTTACCTCATAAATCCCCTTGAAAGATAAGAGACATTGACAACGTGAGTTTTGATGACACAAAACTAACATAGGGATTTTAGGCGCATTGTTTCATATAATGCATTACATTTATACATTGTTTACCTCTTATGATGTTCCATGAAGTTTGATAATGATGTTATTAGAGAGTGCTTATTCTTTACAATGTTTTCCCCAAAACTACAGTTTTATTAGAGAGTACTTATTCTTTACAATGTTTTTCCCCAAAACTTAAGTTGTTGTCGGTTTAAAGAAGTTTTCACGAAGTATATGGCTATTATTTTCTATATAAATCTTGTGTTTATTTCTATACTTGTTTATAAGGTTTAGTCCATGTACTAATTATCACGCTTCCAATCATAATTCACTACTTTGACAAGTGCTTATGTTAGAAAGGTTTTTGACAAGTGCTCATGTTAGAAGGGTTTTATACTGATATTGTGGAGATTGAGGAACTTGTAAGGATTTTTTGGAAGACTATTTGCTATGTTTGAAATAGTTAGACTTGGTTAACAACTTCCTTTTTGTTTGTTAAAAGATTTTCAAGTTTGAGACTTTTTCCATATATTATTTTGCAAACCTATTTTTATGATGTTTTAAAGATTATTTTAAACCAACCCTAACCACTAGTGTCTTGCAATTTATGGCATTTTCAGTTATAATATTTATCAACTTTTACAAGGTTACTTTAAGACTCGTTAATATAAAGGAAGTCACATGGGTCCTTCCTTTTATGTCGAACATCCAACGTATCAACACCATGAAATAATCTAACCCAACCAAACTCATTTTACCAAACAAAACCCAATAATTGAATACCAAACATACTCAATAATTAAAAAGGAACACCAAATATCATGTTCCGACTTTTTAAAGGCAATAATCATGGAACAAAAGAACATGTTTGCTGTCACTTTGCAAGCACTTTCAATTTCTTTAAAAATAAACTATTAGCTGTATTACCAAATATATAAATAGATACATAAATAGATATATATCTAAGACATGCCAGCCTCAAACAATAATGAATATTATCAACAAAAGAATCAGATTCTTTATTTATTCTTGAAACATTTCTTTATGCTAAGGTTTTATTAATATATTCATCATAGCTGTATACAGAAACACTTTAAATGAACAAAACAAACAACACAAGCATTGCTAGCAACAATCCTCTCTAAATATCATCATCAATACGCCAAACCCAAGTTACACAAATCATAAATTAAATATATATAAAAACAAATTGAATTTAATAATATTTAACAAAAAGAGTCATATCACCTCAAAATTTCCTAAAACCAAATAGAAATCTTAAAGCTTTTACCTTGAGCCAAAAGGGAAGATGAAATCTTGAAAAATATGTTTCCATTGAAGAAGAAGAAGAAGAAGATTATGTACAATATCACCCTCAGAAAGTACGATGCTATTTTTCTCAGGTCAACTATCTTTTGGTCAAACCCTTTATGGGTTTTGTATAAAAGCTTCAAAGATCCAATCTTTATCAATCTTTACACTGAAATTACCATTTTTTTTACTCACTTTCTCTTAAACAGTTCCCTGGTAAAAGAAACCTGTACTTGTCAGCATTTTCAATAAGATGAGCTGGCAGATGAACAGCAGAATATGAATGAGGAATGGGTCCCATTTTCCCGATAATTTCTTTAAATGTATACTCTTCGGGTAACATATCAAACAAATCTGCTCCTTTACAGATAACTTTCTGAACCCGTTTCGGGTTCAGAAAGTTACTGAATCTGACTCTGTCAAAATGACTGTAAGCTTTCATTTTGAAAACAAATTCGCTGATGTGGCGAAAGCAAAAGCTGCAATGCCACCCGGCATCCGCCAGCACAACGTCTGATTGTCGATAATGAGCGTATCTTGTTGTCCCGGATTTGTATCTATGAATAGAAGCTCTCCAACTATTGTTATCAAGAAAAAACTCAAAGGAATAAAGATAGTTTTTTAATCGAAGATGAAGAATTGAAGGTATGTCATCACACCATCGTAATAGATTAATCGTGTGTCTACTTGGAATCTCATCGACATCTGACATGATCAACAAATCGTCATCTTGAATCCCAGCTTTTCTCAAAAGATAATCCAACGCAAGTCTTTGATACGCTTCTTCAACAAACGGGTTTTCACCTTTACGAAATCTTCCAGGGATTTTTCCGTATGTTAATCGGGGTTCCACGAATTTGAATTGTTCACGAAGGGAGTCAAAAACTAGGGGTTTTGGTAATCCGGTGAAAGTCGAGTTTGATTCAAGGAGGACAAATTCTGTAACGTAAGGGTATAATTCATGCCATCGGATTGTGAGAAGGTCAACTTCGTTGCTGAATAAGACTGCGTCAAAAACACGCCTTGGGAACTCGCGAGTTCCCCATCCATGGAGTCTGCAGAGATTCTGCATGGAGACGTTTTCGTGGTAGTAATGTGGGATTTCGTGGAAGGGTTTTGGTGGGGATTCCCATAATGGGCGTAAGAAGTAGGAGATTTTTTGACCATGAACGTATAAACCGAGGATTACAGTTGGGACTAAGACGAACAGGAAGACGAGTGTTTTTAATTCTATCCCGCGAAGAATGCAACGGACTCTTGATATAGTTGAAGATCTTCCTGAATCCTGCGAATTAAATGTATGTTTGATAAGATTTTTACGCAATAGATGATCGGAAAAAAGTCTCAATTTGAAACAGAACATGATGAGTGGGGAAGAGAAGAACAGTCAAACGCTTTAATTTGCAATTAATGTGTTGATTTCGTCAATCCTGGATTTTATTGTTTAGCTGGATCGAAGTTTCTTTGATTGATAGAGAAATAATTGAGAAACGCGTTTTGAATTCGGAGTTCACATAAGCGGAAAGTAAATAAAATGTAATGTTTTACTGGTTTTTGAATCTTTCAATAAAAGTCGAAGCAAATAGACTACAGAAAGAGCCCTAATTTGGACAAAATTGGGACACACTGTAAGTAGGAAATTAGTCATGACACCAAAGTTTTGGATGAAAAATTAAATTTGGGGAAAAATTAGACAGAAAAAACATTACAAAACCAATTTTGAATCCAACGCAACAAAACCAGGATAAAACGTAGATTCGCAATGCTTACTGAGAAATTGAAAAGGGAGAATTTAAGAACGAATCAAATTACCTCATCGCAAACATCACCGCATATATCATCGGACTTTTTAGAACAGTAACGAGATCCACCTTCCGCCATCAAATAAACTTTATCGACAAATTTTGATAAGCTGATCATCGTCATTCGAATGCCTAATTCCCAACAGACAGATCAGCGCTAAATCGTGGAAACGAACCAGTCCTTCCCAGTCTTGTCGATTTCAAATCGAGATAAAAAAAAATGAGAGAAATTGAAGATTTGATAAGCGTAGATCGTTGCAGTTATGAATTATAAACTAAAATCCAGAAAGTGAATGAAACAAGAGAGATTAAAAGAGCATAGGGGATATGGAATAGGCTGTCGTGAGGTGTTCTTGAGCACTCTCTCTCTCTCTCTGAATAAAAGGCTTGTGTGTATTTGTGTCTGGTTTTAATGGATGGCAGTTGTGCACATACACACTCTACAAGGAAGCCGTTTCTCTTGTCTTCTACCCCACCCTTCTTTTCTCTTTTCCTTTACAAATATTGTATCTATATATATTTGGGGTTCCAAAGGAATGTTTTGGGATTTGACAAAATTACCCTTGGAATGGGTTTTCAGTTTTTTCATTTTTTGGGATTTGACCCGAACATTTTTTTTTTTAAACAAAATCTCGTGTTTTTAGCTCTTTTGAAAACATTTTACTATTTAACAGTTATTTTGAAAACATTTAACAGAGTTGATGCGAAAATTAGGTCTCAAACTTATGTAAAACAATCCAAGTTGTAAATTTTTAATAAAAGTGTATACAAGCAAATCAAAAGAATAGTTCAAGAGCAACCGGTGTAAGATATATGACCTAAATATTCCAAACATGTTAGTATTATTTTCTATGTTCCATATTAAATTTTTAATAAAAGTGTATACAAGCAAATCAAAAGAATAGTTCAAGAGCAACCGGTGTAAGATATATGACCTAAATATTCCAAACATGTTAATTATTTTCTATGTTCCATATTAATAGTTCATTTTTAGTTTGTCTTAAATTAATAGTCTACTTTTAAAAATAAATATCATTTTTATCACTGGCGAATCTAGAACAAAATATCACGTAGTTCCCAAATTAAGTGAAGCCGATAAAAAAACCAACACTTGTGAGGGATCGGGTTGGGTCGGGTCGTGTACGATTTAATGAAATATAATTGAAAGAACGGATCAGGCAACACCAATTAAAATTTTATAAAAACCGACTGAAATATAATTGAAAAAACCGAACGATTTAATAAAAAACTAGTTGATTATTAGTACATTGATACCTTATTGTTTGATAAAAACTATATATAATATTTAACCCTATATATTTAACAGCACAAATGCCCCATGTAACTTTTTTTTTCACCTTTTTAAATGGTTTTTTAAAACATTAAAAAAAAACAAACTCAAGGTAGATTCTCTATTTTTTCTAAGATAGTTCCTAATTTTTGTGGTATATATATTATATATGAAATTCAAATTTTAGGTAGGTCCTAGGACCTAGCTTCTTACTTGTTAGATACGCCCTGATTTTTATTAAAATATCTTCATTATTAGTTAAACTACCATGAAATTAAATTCAACAAAATGGTATAATTGTCGTTTCATTTAATAAAGTTAGTAATAATTAATGTTTTCTTAATCTATAAGGTTTTTTTTTTTGTCTGTGGTAATTATACTAAGATAAATGTACAGAAGTGATGTTGCATTAAATTTTTAACATACAAAAATTGGTTATTCTCGGTTAAAGCTCTATGAGTTCCAATGTAATACATAACTATTAATCATCATCACTTGTGTTTTAGTTTGATTTAATGGTTTAAAATTAAAACATTTTATTGAGATTAAATGGTTCAGTAAATATATTGCCGGTTAAAAATAAAAAAAATAAAAATAAAAATAAAAATAAAAATAAAAAACATGAAAACTCCATTGAAGCCATAAGTTAACTTGAAAACCTCCATTAAATTTAAATCAATTTGCATACTGCTAGTAAGAAATGGTGGATTCCTTAGCTTAAATAAGGTCTAGAAACATTAAAGTAAATTTAGAAACATCAATTTCACAAGAACAAATATAATTTTGGATTCCAGCAATAGAGCTTTGATACTTTCAAAATTCTAAGACCGTGTTTTGTAAAAGTAATTGTTAGCTAGAAACTGGTAGCGGATGGTTGGTAGTTGGAAACTTTTGAAATATATAAAATTACATAAAAGGACAATTGTTTATATATATAAATATATATAAGGGCAATTATGGAATTTGATTTCAAAAGCACATTAACGTTTTGTTAAACGCTACATGAAGTAGTTTTTAGATGTGAAGCATTTTGTTTAAAGTAAAAGTTAAACGCTTGTACTGTCAAACAAAGGTTTTTGTTTAAACTTGAACGTTTTATCAAAGCTAAAAACTAGAAGCTCTCAAACGCTCTGTGTCAAAGACGCCTTAATTATACTAAAATAAAGCTATCAATAAGAACAATAAAAGTATGATCGTGATTTAGTGACTAAAAATAACTTGAATCACTACAACATCTGTAATAAATTTAAGATTTTTGGATTTTGAGATTTTTCGAAATCCAAGATCAATTTTAAGAAAAGTGTAATGAAGAACTGTATCTTCTCAATGTTTCTAGCTCAACTAAATCCAACACCAACTCTTCAAGAACCACTTCAATTCTTTCTCAAATGATCAACATAGCCATAGTTTCTCCTATTCTCGTAATGTCATTTTTATTCAAATGAATGGAGGAGAAGAGGACTAGCTTCTTATTTATTTGGCATGACTATTTCTGATGATGTCGAATTGAAGAACCGATGGAGCTGAGGCATTATCCCAAGGTTGTGAGCGAGATAACCAAGTTTCCTAGAGAATGAGCATTGAATGCACTTGTAAAAAATAATGACGTCGGGGACTTGTGACATATAATAGTTGCCACTTGATCAAATTTGTCACCAATGGATTAATCAAGTATGGATATATAGGTTTTTTCAATGTTGGTAAGGAGACCGGACAAGACTTTGATGCGTTGATAATAAGTGGTAACAAAAAGATGACCTATTTTAACGGAACGGAGTTAATTGTCGAGTTACATGAGACAACTATCTTTTTTTTTTATCACATAAGAGGTTCTCAACGCTCTTCCATACACGACTGAGAGTCATACCTTTATTGAGAATCATTTGTAGGAGAATATTGTGCATGATGTCATAGACCCCAAAGTTTGACAAAATAGTCAAGCTTTTATCTAGGGTGAAAAATATATACCTCAGAAAACCAACAACATGTTATCAACCGAACCAATAATGTTGATAACCAATATATGTGGTAGCCAACATGTTTGGTTGGTAGTACGATACCAATTCAGTAAATATGGTTAGATAATTACACAAAGTTTTAAATATCACGGGAATAATCTATATATATATATATATATATATATATATATATATATATATATATATATATATATATATATATATAAGATCATATATTTAAAATTTAAATGTGTTTGGTGTTTAAGATTTTAAGACATTTGATATTACCATTTACAATATTAGGAAATTTTAAAGTTTAAACTCGTTTTGGCATGTCTCATTTTCCTACACTACTTAAAAATTTAAACTCGTTGTAGAATATAATAAAATCATTTTGGATTGAGTTTTAAATCTCAACCATTCACAAAACTATCATTCATAGAAGCTCATTCACGTTTCATAATGTTCAAAAAGACAAAATCTTCATTCATAAAACTCATATACATGTTGGTATATAATATTACCAATATGTACCGACCAAATTTGTTGGTAGTTAAACAAGTTGGTACCAATTATACTTGGTACGATAGTAGTAGCAAAAATTTTATACTAACTATAATTGATACGATATATAGTTTAGGAAAAAGTAAGTCTGGTATCATACCAATTTCAACCATTCTTTTTGCCACTTTGTGGTATGGTATCATCAAGGTGGTATTAGATACCAAAAGCTACTGCAATAAGCTTCAAAAAGATTTAGACATGCGTCATAATTTATCTCTTCAACGTTGAGAGTGTGTGGGACATATGTTCAAATGTTAGTGATGTTGAATGATTTATGAGTGGAGTCATTTTCGGTTGTTGATACAAACATAATGTCCGAAAAAAATGTAGTTGACAGAAAGGAAAAATTAGGGTTATGGTCGACCTAGGAGTAAAGCCAAAAGGGAAGGAGAAGGAATATAAGATCATATTGAGTAAATAGGATGAAGAAAAAATCAGGCCTCTGATACCATGCAAATAATTTGCATTCTACCACAAATATATACAAAGAGATATAAGATATATGTTAAGGCTTACTAATACAACATACAAATATAACAAGCCTATAAACATATATAGTACAATGTATGCTAATAATTATTAGACTAAAAAGTCAATAAGTCGGTTTTAAAAAGTGTTTAACTTAACTTTTTAGAGGTAAAAAATGATAAGAAACACTAAAAAAACTAAAAAATCATCAAAAAGCTAGGATTTTAGCTTTTTTGAAACTCCTTTATTTTGCTTATCCAAAAATTTATTAAAAAATCGCTTTTAAACATCCTAAACATTTTTTTGAACTTATTACTTTTTTTTGAAATAAACTAATTTAAGAAGCAATCCTAAACACCAACTTAATTCGGATATAATCAAATAAAAGTAAAAATCATAGGAGTTTTCTCTTTTTCTAGAGTGAAGGGTAGTTTCACCTCAAACAATCTAAACATTTTTTAACTTACTATTTTTTTTTTGAAATAAACTAATTTAAGAAGCAACCCTAAACACCAACTTAATTCGGATATAATCAAATAAAAGTAAAAATCATAGGAGTTTTCTCTTTTTCTAGAGTGAAGGGTAGTTTGGTGAAAAAAAAAAGAAAAAAAGAAAAGAAAAGACTGTAATTCGCCGGGTCGTGGCAACGCGTCTTTTAAGTAGTAACCTAACCTGGTTTGACTCGTTACTCATTATGTTTCCTGTCGAAGTATTTTGGTCCACAAGCACACATCCACGGCCCCCTACGCAACGGAACCATCAATATTAACACATTTGACCTCTGGTTATAAAAATGTTACACAAACGGCCCCCTTAACATTCACAATTTGCATTGGTTTACGAAGAACAGCTTTTTGAACTCTTTTGTATGCAATATTATATAAGATGTGCAATATGCGTGATACATATGCTTGCAAAAAGTATTATTAGAAGAATAATACTTTTGATCAAAAAATTATCAAAATATCAAAAATCATCAATACAATAGTTTTTATTTTTCTAAAATGATTGTTGTCTTGCTTGATAATGATGTTTGAGACAAATCTAATTAAGTTAACGTTTGACTGGGTAAATCTGATTAGGTGAGAGGTGTATAAGAGGAGTCATGACCTCATAGGTTTCTAAATATGATATCAAATAATCTGAATGTGACTGAATTAGAACTAACCTTTTATCAGACTCAATAAAAAATATATCAATCATCTCT